CCCCCCCCCCCCCCCACCCCTTCAGTTTCTCCATGATACAGTAAAAATGAAGGAGGATGCTTTGGGGCACATGCAACCTACAGGAACTATAATGTACCCTCCCCCCCCCCCCCCCTCCCCACACACCTATTTATACCCCTATTTTCTCCCAGCACAAATTTTTAACCAATAAAGAGACATCAGAAAATGTGATAACAAAGATTTGCGTGTTTTGTTTTTTTGGAGCTCGAGTATAAGCATCCATACTCTCTGGCTCTCCGTTCCTCCTCTCCGTCTCTCTCTCTCTCTCTCTCTCTCTCTCTCTCTCTCTCTCTCTCTCTCTCTCTCTCTCTCTCCATGTGTTTTTGAGACATGTGTGTCCCGGTCAGACTATTCTGCACCCCTTGCAATAACTTCTTTCTCCATTTCTACTCTATCCTAACTTTCAACCCTCCCCCTTTTCTTCACCTCTCTCTCTTGCTTTCTTTTCAGTGATCAATCTTTGTCCATTTTTCTTTTTAACTCTCCCCCCCCCCCCCTCTCTCTCTCTCTCTCTCTCTCTCTCTCTCTTCATCTCTCTTTCTCTCTCTCTCTCTCTCTCTCTCTTCATCTCTCTGGATCTCTTTCTCCATGCTTATTCTTTTCCCATTTTCTTGTATAACTCTATCATTAATTTTCTTCTTTTCTCCTCCGTCTCTTTCTCCCTCATTCTCCCAAAACATCAATCTCATCTCTTCCAACTTAGTATAAATACACTGAAATCCTTATCCAAAACACGATCCTCAAATTGGCGATTCCAGACAAAAATTGATCAATTTTTAATACCCTATACACATTACATCTTCTTCTTTTCTCTCTCGAGGACTGGAGGGCATTTACACAGATTTTACTCCACTTTCCCTCTTGTCAGTAACATTCTTTTATATAGCATATATTACAAATTCATGAAGACACATAATAATAATAAGAATGATGACAATAATAAACAATCAGCTCACATCTAATCCACAGGCAAGCTTGAGAATCGTTGCCTAAAATAAACTCATCACTACGAGCATACAGAATCGGGGAAGGTCCTCAGTTTATACAATGTACTATATAATTAATCTACATATGTTATATTCCAGTAATACAAGGGGGATGTTTGTACAATAACAAATTCATAATATTGCTCAGCAAAGCATTGTATCTAATTTACTACAGCAATGATTATTTCTTCACGATTGTATCTCTATAGAACATTCAGACAGAATAATTATATCTACATGTAAATATAGACGAACAGCACAGACATGGTACTGCTATGTGTGGGGCCACTTGTTTTAAAACACAACAGGAAATTCATCTTTGAGAATTTTTTAAAACTGATTACATAGGAAACATGCCTTTTACGAGTTAGAGGGGCCTTAAAGCATAACACTTTACATAGCATTGACACCCTTTTGTTTCTTATAAGACGGTGTTACCTGTAACAAAGTTGATGTTCTTTACATGTATGTAAACTGCATTAAATAAACTTATAAAAGGTGTAGTGTTTAGTGTTAGAGTGTCTTTGGTGTAAATGAAAAAGTTGAGATTAACACTACACTCTACATGTTACAGCTTTAACATTAAAAGATTCAGAATTTACACCATAGCTGGTCTTATGCCAACACCAAACACCATTACACCATGAAACATAAACACCCTGGTGTAAAGCTCTTTACAGATCACCTACTTAATAGCCCATACTACAGCTTGAATTAAATCCTTTTTAAACCAACAACCCAAATTAGCACTGATTTCATCATCATTTCTATCTATTGTACTGTACACGTTCAAAAAACAACAAAGGTGTTTCATTTAATTACCATAATTAGTTTTACTTGGGTTGGTTACCAATGGTAAATATCATAGTTTACAAAACCAAATCATCGGGGTTAATGATAGTCTTTCCTTCATAGTTCATTAAGTACATGGCAACAAATAACATCACAAAGCTATTGCAGTAAACTAAATAATGCATCAGTAAATTACTTCAAGTGTATTGTATGGAGCGAAGGGATAATAAATGGAGAATAATAAAGACTATGCAATACAAAATATCCTAGATGAGAACAGATAAACATGCTAAGATGCAAAGTATATGTTCATACGAAGAGACGGATCATTACCGATTTTACAAATTGGATAATAATGAATAAATATCATACTCATAACAAATATTGTTATTACATTCCCTGCAAGCTCAATATATCCACAAAATATAACTGCTTTCATTAACTATGACGGAGAGATAGAAGGGCTGGTTGGAGGGAGAGTAGGGGAAAGAAAGACAAGAGATTGATAGAACGAGTGAAGAATGGAGAGGAAAAGGGAAAAAGGAATAAATATTTATTAAAATGAAATATCTCCTAAGGTTTACAATGGAACTGTTGATTGACATTAGGAACTAGATATTGTCAGCGGATATTAGAAACCTCAATGGATATCTAATTGGTGATATATAGAAAGATAGAAAGAGAGAGGGGAGAGAGGGGGGGGGGGGAGAGAGAGAGAGAGAGAGAGAGAGAGAGAGAGAGAGAGAGAGAGAGAGAGAGAGAGAAAGAGAAGGGGGATGGGCAAGGGGAACATATGAGCAAAGTAGTAAATAAAACATTCAGAAAATTGAATGAATTGAAGAAAAAATTGAGGCTTTAGAAATAACATCCATTTGTGACCTTATTGACTGCAAAGAGCGAGAAAAGGTTCTTAAAGTTTGCAAATGCTTAAACACCTTTATCCCTCTAATTAGATGATCCTTTCCTAAAATGTTAATTCTTCAACAAAATCAACACGTTGGAGTCAAGTGTCACTCAAAACAAATTTTCTTTTAGCGCTGTCTTGAATTTATGGTGCCTTTCCCCACTTCATACAGAATCAATTGAGTTCTTCAGTGCCAATACTGGACATCATTTTGAAAGTTTTTATATTAATAAAACAATTCATATCATGATTTCTTTAAACAGTGTTGAATTGCATCAAACTATTTAATATTCAAGTCAATAAGAAATCACAATTTCAACAATCACTACTTCACAGATGTGAAACATGTAGATATCAATCAATAAATGTGAATTACATATCTGCCAAGACGACGTGTTTGGTATGTCGATACAAAAAAGAGACGAGAAACATTCCATATAAAAACAGAAATCATACCGGTACTCAACGTGTAAAGACATACCTCTTTTTAATGCAATTTCATTGCAGTATGTACATATATATCTCAGTCGTAAACAAATCAATCTTTCTGTAGAAGCAGACGTGGCAAGTACTTTATCCGTTCGCCCAAATCAATGTTTTGAGGGAGAAAGTGACAAACTGAATTAAAATATAGTAGTTTATAAATAATTTAACCTCACCGACATGTATCCATTCCTACAAATAGGCAACCAATTGATTTCAGCTTTGTTTTAAATTGAGTTTAACAAAGCTATTAGAGTAGATCGAGGGCTATATTGTAGCTTCATCAAACTCGATATAATCTTCCTTTAAATGCCAATGTCAAGATAAACTAATCTGGTAGAACATAAGCCTTGATGTTTCGTACAAGTAAGAAACAATGTACTCCAAACAGAAACTCGGAAAATTGTCCATTGGCAAGGTATTAATCTACAACTGCCACTCCACATCCAGGAGAGAAAAGGGGACCTGGTAGGATGACGAAAGCCTTTATGTTCCTAATTGCAATATGCCCTCACTGTGACCATTTGGTAGGAATACTCCCCAGGGAGTGGAGATGGTGCGCAATGTGCATGAATGAATCCCATGACTGGGGTAATAATATCTGTAACGCGCTTAGAGCCAGTATTTCTTATTACCAGTTAGCGCTTTATACATCCACATTATTTTTATCATTTATCATTATTACTACAGAATGAGAAAGGAGAAATTTTCATCAATTCTATTTGACCTAGATTTGTTTGTATTTCAAACAAACATATCAAGTTTCTATTTCTTTTAAATAGGGCTTGCAGCAGGAGTTTGCAGAGGGGAAAAAATGTTTAACGTGGCATCGAAGCAGCATTAAAAATGCACAAAGACATATAGGCAGTTTAATAATCTCCATATACAGTACACTCAACTACCCTTTTTAAATGTGTGAGCTAATGAGATTACGAAGGGGTACAATTTGAAGAATTTCCAAAGATCACAGACAGTATGTGTTTTCAAGCTCTTGACAATTCAAAGATAAGAATATATTAGAAGAAACAGATACTAGTTTATTCAAATTTACAGGATTCCTCAAACTTTCAGTCATGTTATAAAATTGATATTTAGAAATATGGTGTTTCATTAATACTTTTTTTCTTCAAAAGTTGAGGCAAATCTGGAAGAACTATTATCTCCAATACATGAACATGACATTCTAATGAAGTATTCATTTCTTGTGACTATACCAGAAAATGCCCATAATAGAAACATAGGTCACTCGTATCAAGCACATATTCTTTAGTTGTAAGTTAGTTAAACTACTCAGCTATTAGATCATTTTACGTAATTTAACAGATAAGACGGATGGATAGCAGAGTTGGTATAAAACATTAAGTATAAAACAATACGGTAAGTGAAATAAAAAGAATGAAAGCACATATTAAACACCACATTATCATCACAAAAGAATTAGTTTGTTGGTTCGCCCCTCGCTGTTTATTTCTTTTACAAAGATTCTAGTTTTAGTTCTCTTGTCCCTTAAAATATATCAAATATAACTACACTATTAAATGACTTATCAGTACTATTAAACAGAATTACTTTTTTTTTTTAATAAGAAGTAAACTTAAATCAATCAATCAACCAAACAATTTGAAGCCACCGTGAAACAACATTTACATTTTGACAATGTTAAAGCCTGTTAAAGGAGAAAGACTTAAGTTTTAGATTAATTATATTCAAATATATACTATTCACATTTCTAATAATACTAGACAAGATTCTAAGGAGCCATTGGCTTTTACAGGGCCGAACAATAAAGAAATTATGTGTTTCATAATTTTTTCGATCACCATCTAGATCAAAATATATCCTATGGCATGAAGAAAGGCTACAAAATGATTCGAATTAGCACAGTTTAGGACGACATCATCTCTTGTCTGGCAGTTCGTACTGATAAATTTAATTTTCTAAAAACATTCCTACAAAATCTGGGAGCATTCTTCTAACATTGGCTTATTTTGATAAACAACTAAAGTGTCTGTGGATTGATTCTATCACAATTTTTTTTCTCCATCTAAGTTCTATAAAACGTTCTCATTGCTACTCTTATTCAAAAAGATATATTAAGCAGGATATTATTTTAAGGAAGGCTTCGGGGTAGGGGTATACATACAACTAGCATTAATGCTAAAAGTTTTACTTGAGTCACATTCCATACATAACTTCCACATTAACAATAGTGTATTACATCACAGAGATAGGGTACAAAAATGATTAAATCTGTCTCATGCCTCTAATTTTTTTTCTTCTCCGTATTTCATTTTTTTTCTTCAAAATGTTACATCACAAAATCCAACATTTTTTTTCTTCTCAATTCCTATGTACAATATATATTCAATGTCTTTCTTTGTATTCTCGCTTTACATGGGAAATTTTTGAACCCGGCTGAAAGATGCAAATACACTTCACAATTTCAACATATACACTGAAACCAATGAAACCAATTCAAACCAGACAGAACCGGTTTGGGCTGGACAGAGCTGCCTAGTAGAATATACACTGCCTTTAACATATGGGACTTGGTTTTCACCTTCAGTTCACTCATCAAACAATAATTGAGTTATTTTTTCTTGTGCCACAAGCATGTTCCTATAAATGAAATAATTTCATACCACTAACAAACACTACATTTATGTCATATCTATATTTTCTACTGCATTCCTTGTTTCACGAAACATTAAATATTGCTAAGTCTTTATGCTAACATAGGAATGGTATTTTTAATAATAAGCATGTCTGGGTAACTATATATATGCAGCTCAACCGGATTGAAACTGTACTACACTCAATGTTCATGTTAACTGGAGATTTAAAAAAAAGAAAAAAAGAGAGAGATATCCAGATTATGTTGATTCAAACAAATATTCAAAACGTTCTGTGACATTTTCAAGATCCTCTTTGATGCTGTCAGAACAGGTTTAAACTGGTCAAAACTGCTTTGAACCAGTCATATCCAGATTCAGCACAGTAAACACTTAACCAACACTGGTATGATGTGAGTAACTTGTCTCCCAAACGCATTGATATATAAATTCACAGGCAGTACAAACAACTTGACTCGGAATGACCTTATTTCTGAAGATATCCAGCTGAAACCAGTTTGAAGCAGATAGAACCGGTGTGGGCTGGACAGAGCTGCCTAGAACTGGGTTGCGAACAAGTCACACAGTACCCTTGATACATCAGGTTTGCTGGTCCTTAACGTTAGTCTGTACATCTGTAATGAGAGTTGGTAACATCAAGGGTGAGTATAAAACTGTATAAATCTTCCTTTTTTGTATCATCATCATTATCATTACCATTACCATCATCATCGTCATCACTACCACAATCGTCTTGATTGTCATCATAATAATCGTTATCACTCTCATCATCATTACTATCACCGTCATCTTCATCATCGTCGTCAACGTCGTCGTCATGGTCGTCGTCGTCGTCGCCGCCGTCGTCGTCATCATGATCATGATCATCATGATCATCATCATCATCATCATCGCCAACTTCATCATTATTGGGTCATCACATTTTTGTAATCATCATCACAATCATCATCATCATCTTATTTTCTTACAATGTATATTATGTAATGTGTATACTTGTTAAGATGTCACTTGTAATAAGCCAATTAGTGCTTTTCATGATCCCATCACTATTATTCATATGTATTTGATATTTATTTGTAAATTGTTCTTAAAAGTAAAAATAAATTGTATTGAATTGAATTGAATCTTACCCTTGCTTGTTGATTAGGTTCTAAGCGCATGAGACATCCGACCTGTTGGGTCTTGGTGTGGACAATGCCTGCTCCTACAAAGTTCTCCGGGTTGGGGTCCACTCCGTCCAGGAGTCCTATTCCTGTCCCCATCAGCTGGATCAAAGAAAATAATAATAATAATAATAGTGGGTTCTTGTATAGCGCTCATGTCTGTCAGACTCTCAGACTGCGCTCCCGATTATTACCCTGGCTTTAGCACAGCTGCCATTACGGCGCTCTAGCATTTCACCTGGGTTGAGTGTGGCAAATGTAGATCAATGTCTTGCCAAAGGACATTAGTGCCGCGGCGGGACTCAAACCGTGGACCTTGTGATCCACAGTCAGGTGACATGTCCACTCGACCACGACACCTCTACGATAAAGGGACATAGTTGTTTACATTTTCTAATTCAATGACATCAAGGAAAATTTAGTTTCAAAACTTGCTACACATCTTGTTTACTTCCTTTTTGTATTTTTTTTAAACAGGCTATAAAAAATGGGTTTAGTTCTTAAAAACATCCTACATATGTTTCAATTTAGTTTCTGTTTCATAACACTTGTTATAAATCAATAACAGATGCTGAAGTTCTAGGATAAATTTGCGCTTAGCAAACCAAATCCAATAATTTCAGTGCCTTATAAGAGTTGCTGCAACTTTTTATTGATTACAAGTTTTAAGAACCTTCTGAAGTTGTAGCCAGCAGGGCGGTGCTAGCATGTCGCTAACTTGGTAAAGGCATGGTAGCGCATGCTAGAGTGAGCCCCTGAAGCTTCCCATACCAGGGGGGTGTCTCACAAAGACTAAGAACGACTTTAAGTTGGACTTAACTATGGCAGGCCGTTCATACCACTATTTTCTCTCATCATTTACTAGCATTGGTTTCTCAAGGGATGTAGCAATCATGGTCACAAATTTACAGAATTTACATTTTTTATAGTTCATTATTGAAGGTAAAACTATTAGCTAAAGATCATAATTGAGAGACCAATGGTGAGAGCAACCAGTGGCATGAATGGCCTGCCATATTCAAGTCCAACTTAAAGTTGATCTTAGTCTTTGTGAAACACTCCCCTGGAGCTAAAAGCGGCTTTCGATTGAGTGCATTCCACACAGGCACAACTGGTTCTTTGGGAGAATGAATATATGTACGGTATATGCCCCTCTTTGCATAAGGGATTGCAATGGAGCGTTGATGCGATTTCTCGTCCCTGAAACTGTTGAGACCTTTGTATAGTCATCACGCTTCAGACCGACCCCACCCATTCCCTTTTGAAAGGAAAAAAAATGTTTCACTAGTTCCTGTTTTTTTGTTGTTTTTTTCTTTATTGTAAATGTACTTTTTTTCCAGTAGCTTGATACATGTACACTGACATATCCAAACAGGGGGGTGTTTTATTAAGCTGTGCGTAAAGTTACGAATGACTTTACGAATTGTTCGAATTTGAAGAGCCAAATGGGATGCCCAAAGTTTTTCCTGACATTTAAACAAAGTGCGACTGTATATCCCATAATCTCAATTAAATTGTAGCCTAAAATACACTTTGCATCAAAATAGGTTAATCTACATCTGCATATTTCAACTTAAGCTTAAAAATGCAATTAAAAGGATATGAGAATCCCATTTAGCTCTTCATTTTTAAGTCATTCCTAAAGTCACGCGTAACTTTACGCACAGCTTCATGAAACACGCCCCTGGTCAATTCCCTACATTACAGGGCCCAGAGAACATGCCATGTTGCCACGGCCTTCTCTGGAACTAAGCTTTCCAACTTACCTTTGTCCTATTCGCAGCAGTGTCCATTGGGAATTGTCCCTCAAAAATATTCTGCGACTCCTGCCCCGGACTGTGGAGATGAAAGGGGAAATCAAAGGAATGTTTAATAAAGTTAAGTTTGTTGATAAGCTCCACAGAACCTGTAGCTTTACGTCCTATCCAAGGATTGATGTTTAGCAAGGAATATATTCCATATTTGTTGTTATCAAAAAAGGGTCAACCTTTATATAAGGATTATTTTTCCTTTCAGGTTGCAAGCTAGGTTTGTGAAGGAGGCGAGACGTGCCTCATCAAAGACAGCCTGGCGTTTATAAAGCAGGATAACGAAGATGGAGTGGCCTCAGACCTCAGAATGGTGTAGACGTGCACATTTTTGCAGAGCCTTCGTTGTTTCAAAAGCGTTTGATCTCGTGCCGCAGACATGACTGCTTAAGAAGCTCTACCATTATGGGATAAGAGGAAAAGGACTCGGCTGGATCAAAAACTTTTGAACACAACGAGTAACACTTGATAGAAAACTGTCCTCGGCTGCAGAAGCCTTTTTGTAATTTATATTAACATTATGTCTGACTGTATCTTCAGCGGTACCAAGATACATTTATTCGCTGACGACGCATTAATTTACCAGGAAATAAATTTGGAAATGGACCCAAAACTTTCAAAAAAGATCTTGACGCCCTCTCCGAATGGGGATCCGATTGGCAAATGGCTTTTAACACTGACAAATATTTTACCATGCACTTCACATCAAAGAAATCCCCAAACATTACCCCCCTACAAATTATGCGACAACACTCTGCAAGTGTCTTCTAGCCACCCCTACTTGGGCATCACCTTCAGCAGCGACCTAAAATGGAACTCCCATATTAATAACGTCACCAAGAGCTCAAAGAAGGTGCTGGGAGTCACCTGACGCAACTTCAAAGCATGTATTGTTGACATTAAATCGTGACTCTACCTATCACTTGTACAACCTAAACTAGAGTACGGCACGACTGCATGGTACCCCAGCACACAAAAAGAAAAACATCAGCTTGATATGGTCCAAAGAGCTGCTGCAAGAATGTGTCTCACCGACTACTCAAGAGAATCCAGCGTGACAGCCTTGATTTCATCTCTTCAGTGGACCAACCTCGAGAACTGAAAAAAGATTGTCCAACTCAACACGATGTACAAAATCAACGCAAACCATGTAGACTTTGATTTGAACCCCTACTTAACCAAGACAACTCGCAAACTTAGACGCACACATCATCCTTCCAGAGACCTAGAACCAATTCAACAATTTACTCAAATAGCTTCTTCCCATGGACTGTTTCATATTGGAACGACCTGCCTCATTACATCCTAGACGCCCCCAACGTAGATATTTTTAAAATGAGGCTCTGCGTCATACCTCTGATGTGGTGCGGGCTCCTGCTTTGTAAGGAGTACTTATCCAGAACCAGAACCAGAACCAGAAGTTGAACAAGGAGAACCCTAACTCTGGTATAAAACATTGATCTTTATTAGTTTGGTGATACTCAAGAGTCAGTGACCTGCAAAGTGGAGACTATATACAGTGAAACCTGTCAATGAAGACCACCCAAGGAAGACAAGGAAAGTGGTATTTATAGGCAGGTGGTCTTTATGTACAGGTACCTTTAATGCATGTTTCAATGAGAAACCATTTTCAAGGGAAACAAAAAATGTAGTCTTTGTAGACAGGTGGTCTTTCTATACAGGTGGATCATTAGAGCAGGTTTGACGGTACCACTTCCACGTTACAGATGTACATGTATGTTGCAACATCATACAGTAAGCATACAATCACGAGGCCATAGCATCAGAGTAGCACGAGCAAAGGAGGTTGAAAGTGAAGTGATCGAAAGCTGGATTGCTTTCAAAGGGTTTTAAAATTTGGGAACAGTATAAGACAGTTGAGATTGGTCTATATAAAGTTTAAAGGAACCAAATGTAGCCTAAAATCTGGGCACAGAGTGTCAAAGCCCCACTGTACTACTTGTAGCTACTTGGTCCCTTTATATAGAAAACAATGCCTAGGTGGTGCCTGTTGGTCCCTCGTGATCCTCTTTTTCTTATGTTAATTGAGAGCTGATTTGATGAGATAACCACCTATCAGTGACCGTGCAGGGAGGTCTAATCCCTCCTGGCCAAACTAGTGCAGAGGGGCTGTAAAGAAAGGTATAAGATTTAAGATTACTTACCTTCCGAGCTGCTTCCAGCGTCCAAAGAAGTCTTGGGAGGTCATTGTAGTGGCTTGAAAGAACTTGGAGATCATCACAGGTACCTTGAGAGTCATGCTCTGCACTGAACCACCCACACTACAGAGAAAAGGGAAACAAAAATCAGTCTTCAGTCCCATACCATCATATTGGTGTAACATGATTGATGTTTGGTCCCATTCAATCATATCTATGCCAAGGTAGTAATCAGAAATATCTTGGAGATTATTACAGGTACCTTTTGAGTCATGCCCTGAACAAACCAGCCTGCACTACAGAGAAAGGGGGGTTAAAAAAAATCAATCCTTAGTCCCATATAATCATATCAGTGTTGCACCGAAGTGAACACAATGGATCAAACTGTAGACCGACTTAGCCAGATACATGTTTAATACAGAGAGGGGAAAGTCCATCCTAATATCAAGTTGATGTTAATAAAAGCAGAATTAGGGGTGTATTACAGGTAAATTAGAGGCGATTCACAAATATATCGCAGGTAATTTTACATTATATAGGCACATTATATTATAGCAAGAGAGTGATTGTGTGTTCTTGTTTTCTGTTGTTTTAGTATGATTTTAAAAACCACTGATTGAAGCATAATTCAAGCTGCAAATACACCATGTTTTGAGTAAGAATGGGTAAGAATAAGCTTCCTTCAAGCATTAATATCTGCTGTTTGAAAGAATATCCCTGAAATACGAAGCTCCGCATTCACTAAATACTACCACCAATTCTCGAGAGGAATAATTCATTTTCTGATTGCTTGAGCAAAAGTAATAACCAGGTGAGTGTTTCACAAAGACAGAGATTGACTTAAAGTTGGACTTAACTATTACAGGCCATTCATGCCACTGATTGCTCTCACCATTGGTATCTCAATTATGATCTTTAGATACCGGTAATATTTTTCCATCAATAATGAACTATCAAAAATGTAAATTCTGTAGATTTGTGACTATGATTTGTAAGTCCCTTGAGAGACCAATGCCAGTAAATGGTGAGAGCAAACAATGGCACGAGCAGCCTGCCATAGTTAAGTCCAACTTTAAGTCGATCTCAGTCTTTGTGAAACACTCCCCAGGAACAAGATTGACGCTAAGGAGCAGAATTGCAAGTAGATACAGAATAGGTTGTGATAATCCTCCCTCTCTCTAAATCAAATCCCAAATAAACCCAACTACATCTATATTAGTAGAACCGATGCCCATATCATTTAGTACCCCATTTGCCTACTGGACCGGGTTGGTTCTGTATATTTAACCTACAGGTATGTAGAATATAATATGATAGTTGCTATGACAATATATCTCAAATGAAGATTAGTAACACCTGAAAGTAAATCACATTATCTACTCAACACAGCACACTTTCATACTTTCTCATGAAAACTCTACACTATCTAATATCTGTGAAGAACTTTGTAGCAAAATTTCTAGTGCATGAACCTGAGGTCTAATGAATAAAGCCAATCTATGTGAGAGCAAAGCGTGCAAGTATGTGTGCATGTACGTTTAAATCTAACTATAAAAGGCTACTAAGGGAAACAACATCAAATCATGCATGTGCATTGTGCAAATCTAATATTTTTGTTTCTCTGTATCTAATCATTGATCTCATGCCCATGACAATGACTTGAAAATTCTGAAAGCATATAAAGCATGGAATAAAGGCCTGTTGCTTATTTAAACTTGTGGCTCCATGTTCTAATGGATGGCTGGTTCTCGAAAACCTCCACCCATCTGCTTCAAGTACGAGTTGGTACTGGTCAAAGATTATAACTTGAGAAACAACTGATTGAAGCAACAAGCCCTTACAAAGATATGGCATATCACATGAGCAGAGAAAGAGAAAGACAGAGAAAAAAAAATGGGTAAATAATGTTTTGGGCAGGATAACTTCATGAAGAAAAGTCGAGAACAGGTTAAGAGAACCATTTTTTTCAAGATGGAAGATTACCAGAGCTACCAACATTGTGCGACCCCAAAAAGGAACCATAATGGCCACCAAAAAAAAGATTATTAAAAAAAAAAGTACTACCGTAATTTGGAGGAAAGAAAGGGAATAATTTTGGGTAAAACGTAATGGTTGGCAGCTCTGGATTACCCTCATCAGCAAACCTTTAAATAATTTCCCATTCAAGAAAAGTCATACACCCATCACTCAGGCTAAAATCTTGTCTAATCTACATGAAAAACTATTCTTGCGTCACCTACAGAGGGCGACATAATGGGTTTACCTGTTCATTGAGGGGATCCTATAGGTCGCAACCAAGTTGAGAAAGCGGAAAACAAAAAGAAGGAGGTGTGGGGTGATTAAGGGAAAGGCGGGGCTACAAAGTATACAATGAGGATGCGGTACTGTAGCATGCAACTTGATAGCAACATCTGACATCAAATGCCGGTCAACATAGCAACAGCTTTAATATATTAGGCTTAAGTGTTTGTATCTTGGTTTCATTTGACATTCATCTGCAAACTGATTGTAATATTGACAGTAATCAATCAAGTTCCATTGATTTGCAATGTGACTGATAGTCTTGATTGGCTGTGGATTGCAGTAGAATTGAGCGCAAGACTGCAAACCAACCAATCAGATAGCAGCTTTTGTCTCAAATGACATTCATCTGCCAACTGATTGTAATATTGACAGTAATCAATCAAGTTTCATTGATTTGCAATGTGACTGATAGCCTTGATTGGCTGTGGATCGCAATGCAATTGATTGCAAGACTGCAAACCAATAGAGCGCAAGACTGCAAACCAATAGAGTGCAAGACTGCAAACCAACCAATCAGATAGCAGCTTTTGTACAATTATAAACTTTCTTGGCCTTGATTGCATATTGACAGGAGAATCAATTGCAAGATTGCTCATAACCAATTGTTTTCCAGCTTTTCAAAGGACATAAATGTGATCTTGTTTTTAATTGGCTACTAATGTGTGTAAGTCTGCCAAAAACTGAAAGGTTCCTGAATTTCACAAGATCCCTACAACATCTTGGGCTTTATTGACTGTGGACTCGATAACAATTGATTGCAAGTCTGCTATCAGCCAATCAGATGACTTCCTTAAGAAATGGATTTGATGTCAAAATGATGCTATTGATTGCAAGTTTCATGCTACAGTATCAAATTATCCCATAAACACCATAACTACAACTATGATTTCGGCACCATTTAAAGTGGGTGGATGGGCCCTTTCCATGGGTAACACAAAGCTATATACAATGTAATTATGTTGAAACATCAAAATCTGATTGATTAGATCCCCATTTTCTTGCAACCAACTGGTCTTGAATACTGAGTTAATATCCCAAAGCAGCATCAATAGATAAAGCATGTCAAATATAGGTGACAGCTAAAATATACAACAATTCACACATATCCCTTTCTAGAAAACCATTCGGACCCTAAAATTTCTCTATGTTAACATGGGCACAGTATACTTGAACCCCAATAGTGTTGAACCACACCTCCTAGAATAAAGTAAGTGTTGAATGAACTTGAATGAAAGGTTTTGGGTTATGAAGTTTCCTACCATGCTGTGTATTTGGTTCAACAAACAAAAAAAGAGAAGGAGAAGGGGGAGAAGAAGGACTAGGGGGAGAAGAATTAGAAAGAAAAAGGGAAGGAGAAGGAAAGGGAGAAGGAAAAGGAGGAGGAGGAGGAGACACAGAAGAAGAAAAAGAACAAGAACAAGAACAAGGACAGGACCAAGAAGAAATTCTGAGGTAAACATTTCGAATGAAAAGGAGTGAAAGCTAAAAAAAAATTTCATTTTGTACAATTCGCAAATGATTTCCAAACTTGTTTTGTTTTTTGGCATGAAATTTCAAACATGCAAATGTGACAAAGTTTTCAGCATGATATAGGAAAAGCACTCAGTCCATCGGATAGGATGTTAAATGGAGGCCCTGTGTAGAGAAGAGTCACCATCTTTACACATTAAGAAACCAGTATGTTTCTGCACGAACGGTAGTATTACATGATGAGATATTTATGAAAACCCTGAAAAAAGTTCAATCCACCCACTTTAAAAAGTATATAAAAGGTTTATTAATGAGCTATTTAAATCACAGTTTTGCGACAAACAAACAAGTTTCTACAAGCAAAAACATAAAAACTTTTGCTTTCTGATACAGTGGAACCTGTACATAAAAACCGCACAAGGGGGACAACAATAACGGTCTTTATAGACAGGTCATCTTTATACACATATCGGTACATGTATGTTTGCAGGATACACACTTTTAAATGAAACAAGGTTCAAGGGAAACAAAGCACATGGTCTTTGTAGACAGGTGGTCTTTCTATACAGGTGGTAGCTACAGCACGTTCGTTACATGTACCGGTATATGAAATAAAATGCAGGACATTGCAGCTCTAGATTCATAGAAATCCTGCAAATGAAAAGAGTGCTCATGTAAAATGATCTACAAATATGACTTTCACATTGCTGGTGCACCTGCAACAAAAACTGATAATTATCATGCACTTCTACAGGATTTATAATTCATACATCTTCTACACATGAAATGAAAGGAGATGAAGGAAGTAAAACATAATAGGAATCATGTGATTGTCAGCCAAACAAACGCAACGGTTAATTGTACTACAACTCAATTGCTCCTAAACAATAAGGACTAGACAGTGATAGAGCGGAGTGGGGGGGGGTGGGGGGGAAGAGGGGAGAGGGGGAAGGGGTCGTTCCACTAGCAAATAAATCATGGGCTACAGAAAATGATGACCTCCCGATAAGATTAGTGAGTAACCGGAGAACGGATGAAAATAAAATATGGAGACTTTAGAGGCATTAAAGAGAACCTGCACATATAGATGCAGTACCCAATATACAGATAACAGTTCTTTTGTATTAAAATGAAGAGATGAAACTTAAAGTAATATCTTAAGACCATGAAGACCATGTATAAGCTGTTACTCATTACTTACAAAACACTTCTTCATTCTTCACCCCATTACTTGTATCAGACTTTGAAACCGTACACCCCACAATGGAATTTACGTTCAAGTTCAAAGCTCCAGTTATATACACCCAAAACCAATAACAAATGGGGGGGGGGGGGGGACAGGGCTTTTGCTAACATTACACCCAAATTATGGAACACTTTACAAATAAGACAATCATCATCAATTGAAATATTTAAGAAGAAACTGAAGCACCATTTGTTTATTTCCTAGTTTTAATATTGTATAATAATTTTGATATTGTACAGAGCGCCTTGAGCAGTCTCTTAAAATGGATATGTGCGCTTTATAAGTTGACATTATTATTATTATTATAATTATTATTACGGTAAGATAAATTATCAAGGGTGTGGAAGAGTATCATGTTTGTTTTGTTTTGTTTTGTTTTGTTGTTGTTGTTTTGTTTTTTGGGGGGGGGGGGGGTGGCATAGAAGAAAAGGCGCCACCCTCTTTGTCAAACTAAGTGAGTAATCTTTAGTACCCATGTTAGAGAGGTTACAAGGGTATTACATAAGACATTAATGTTCATTTGCCACTCTCCACCCAGGTGTTACATGTAAATGGGTATCTGTAGGAAGGAATTCCTTGAATGCTGTGAGCACAAAAAAATGGTAGCCTAACACAGCTGGGTAATATTGGACAGCCTTGAGTACCTTGTGTGGTGGATATGTGTATTATAAGAATTGACCTTTGACCCTATATAAGACGGAACACTGGAGGCAGCATCACCAAAATCTATAGGCTTGTAGATTATACCAAGGTACCAAGATACACCTTCATTACAATTTTTTTCTTTCCATTTTTCATTCATTATAGTCCAATGGCTTCTATTGGTAAATCAATAATGATAAATCAAAATCGATTTTAGCAACTGTCCACCAAAAAAGTATATTCCAATCTCAATTGCATTAACTTCATCACATAGATCACTTGAAGTGAGTTTAAGAATATTTATTATTACAAGGATACATATCTATAAATAGATCAATTAGATAAATCCACATGTGGTAGGCCATTTTCATTCTTCCAGTAAAAAATATCATGGTTTAAAAGAGTAAAATAATATATCTAAATGATGAAAAAAAACTGGAAGAAAGTGCCAACCATCCTTTACATTCAACGATAGATAAAGTATATATAACACACCTTCACTAGCTGACCAATTCACAACACATGTGACATGCTTACCTTGTGGACCCTAAAAACCTGATTTATTACAAATACAACAAATGAAAAAATAGTAACGTGCAGTAAATATACTGTGTATGTGTAAATTAACTTGCCTTTATCAAAGAAGAGCTCGATACTTACAGGTGCCCCAAACCTCAGTCCAAGCCCCTAACATTTCAAAATTGTCATAAAGGGACTCATCTATACAGACCCCCCCCCCCCCCCCCCCAATTACAAAACCAACAAAAACTTGAGTGGTGCAATGTTTTAATGTCAGCAAATTTTTCTTCAATCATGGTCTAGCATGCATATTGTCTATATATTGATTTTTTTTTTAAGGGGGAGGGGGGGGGGGGGGAGCCTACCTTGAAACAGTAAAGTTTTGTGGACATACATATAGTAAATATGAATGAATGTGAGTATCATCATGCATGCATGTGAAAATTTGTGAGGTGTGCTATGGTTATTTTTCCTTGAAACAAAGAAATGAGAAAAATCTTACGAGTATTGGATGCTGAGCGTCGGTGCCTCGTCAAAGTCATCCAGACATTCCAAGTTGATGACCTGCTGGACTTGAGCGCCGCCATCGACGGTTGTTGGTACGGTATCCATGGTGATGTTGAGCTGTGGGGTCATAAGGTCAAGGACTACACAAAGAAATCTTGAAAAATTACTGTCTAGGGAAATTTCCATCATACTATAGTAACAATTATACCGGTTTCTTAAATATCGCTTTATCATAAGCTGACCAAAGCGCTTTGAGTATTATCTCTACCCCGGTCATTGGATCCAATTACTACTAAGGTCAAATTACTATACTTCTCAACTACAACACCTCTACATTAACCTTGGGTTTGATTTGAATGAACAATTGACTTATGCCTCAAGTACAAGGGCTACTAAAAAGTGATTGAGAATGCTTGTGTTTCTCCATTTTGTGACTAACAAGATTTTTAGTTAGTTACTCAACAAAATCAAATCAATTTAAGAATTACTGTCATCATCATCGTAATCCTAATCCTTATCCTCATCAGAGCCAATATCATCATCACCATCATCACAAACATTATCATCATCATCTTAACCATCATCATCATCAAATTGCTACCACCATCCGCATCATCCTCATCATCATCATCATCATCATCATATACCGGAGTGTTGGCTCAGTCAGTAGAGCGTCCGCCTAACAACCGGGAGGTCGTGGGTTCGAACCCTGGCCGCGTCATACCAAAAGACGTTAAAAGATGGGAGTTGTTGCTACCTTGTTTGACGTTCAACAATAAGGGATAGAACAACGTCGATCTGGCGCTGCTCAGTGGCTGCCGGGCTCACGATCCATTGGGCAAAAGAATTTCCGTTTCGGTTTAATAAAATTTGGAGTGGACTATTAGGCTATTATTATTATTATTATTATGTTATCATCATCATCACCATCATACTTTCACATCTTTTATTTCAGTTTGAAGCAAGCAAAGGATATTTCCTTCTAACGAGGGGGGCTTGTTGATGGAGGTGACAAAGTTTGCAAACTGGTACGAGGTCTTGTTGCCGTAGAACAGACCCAGTCGACCCATGTACGTCTGGAACTCGGACTTCACGCCAATCTGCATCTGATCACTCTCGTAAAGCACACCGTTGTTCTTGCAAATAAATCTGCAAAGAAAGTAAAAACAAAACAAAGATGAAATAAACCTTTCTTAACCCTATTTAGCCCGGGCTATTTTGGAACTGCATAGCGCAGGGGGGGGGGGGGGGGGGGGGGGGGGGGCTTCTAAGGCCCCCCCCCCCTATGATCTCGGCCGTGAAACGACCGATTGCGTCAAAAATTTGCATACATGTCAAGTGAAGTGTATAGAATACTATGGTAATTTCAATTTTTTGAAAAATTCACTCATTTGCATATTTATGGTAATTTATGCAAATAAGGTCATCAAATTCACATTTTTGCCCATAAATCAGACATTATTCATATTTACAAAAGCATTCTTTCTCACTACATATATTTGTCAGACCATTTGGAATAATAATACAACACAAAAAATTGAAAAACCAGGGTTATTCCTTATGTTATCTATTGTTTGGATAATTTCTAATGTATTTCTTTGTTTTTTTAACTTATGTATTTTATTGTTTTTATTGTTTTATTTCATTTCCAACTATAATTCAACTATTTTGACCTCAAAATAAACACCTTAACTATAAACAAGACCAAATAACCAATGTTTTATCTCTTTATTTGAAAAATGAGATTTCCATATGTTTTGTACACAAATCACAAAAATTAGCAATTTTCGGGCTGACATGCAAAGACAAAAGGATGCGTGACTTTGTAATGGTAGGTCCGATTTCGAAAAATTTCGTTCAAAAGATGCGCAAGACTCGAAAGAAAAAAGTCACAAATTTCAGTGCAAGATTTTCTTGCGTTAAAAAATTATCGCGAAAAATGTCGAGGGGGGGGCTTCTAAAGGCTTCTAAAGCCCCCCCGGGCTAAATAGGGTTAAACAAGGTATATTACACCATGATTTTATGAGTTTCCAAAGAAGTTTGTATGTTACCCTAGCTGTAGCTCCAGCAGCCGTTATCAACCCACAGTGCATTTTTATGGAATAAATCCTATGAATGATTAAATGTCTTATACCTTTCCAAAGAAGTATGGATATCATTATGCTAGCTGTAGCTCCAGCAGCCATTATCAACCCAAGGTGCATTATTTTGTGTAATAAATCCTACCAGTTAGCCATTTATCACCTGGGTGGAGAGAGTCAAATGTAGAGGAAATCCCTTTTAAAAGGACATATGCACATACATGAGCACACCTGTAAACACAAAAGCCACTTTTGGTATCAACAGATCATTTCCGACACCTGGGGAGCGTTTCACAAAGACTAAGATCGACTTTAAGTTGGACTTGACTATGACAGGCCCTTCATGCCACTGGTTGCTCTCTTTATTGGTCTCTCGATTATGATCTTTGGATAATATCCTTTCCTTCAATAATGAACTATGTAAATTCTTTAGATTTGTGACCACGATTTATACGTCCCTTGAGAGACCAATGCCAAAGTGGTGAGAGCAAACGGTGGCATGAACAGCCTGCCATAGTTAAGTCTAACTTAAAGTTGATCTTAGTCTTTGTGAAACACTCCCCTGGACATATTACAGTCCACGTAAGGAGAGTCCAAAATAGGCCAATCAAATTGGTTCACTGCAGCTCAGATGATGCTGTTTTACTAATCAATACAAAAACATCCATCACACACAAACTTAAAGTATTTTGTATAATGTTTCTTGCAAAAAAAGGGCCGTCAATAACTATCCACAAACTTTCATTTGCAAAAGTTTCTTGTTTAACCCACAAACTACCAAATTCTCTAGTTCATAGGCTTTAATACAGGAACCACAATGTGTTTACAGACAATGAGATCAAAGTAGTCAAAGACTTACTTCCTAAAGTTCTCCTCCGCGTCGGGAGCCAGATTGTTGGCTACGGGGGCGGCGCTTCCTGTTGTAGGGGCCCCAAACATGTCCACCAGCAGACCCCCGTTGTTGGTGGGGGCAGGGGCGGCGGCCATGTTGTCTCCGAAGAACGAGGAGGCGTTGGTGGGGGCCGCAGCCGGGCTTTCCATCAGGCCCAGGAGATCGGCCGAACCGGAGCTGGACGAAGCGGCCAAGGTCGGCATGCTGCTGGCTAAAATGGGCTTGGGTACCGATGATGCAGAGGCCGCAGACTACAAGGCAAACAGGAATTGAAAATTAATATTAAAATGGAATTTGAATTTGAATTTGAATTTATATTTGAATTAAGAATGCATTTTGAATTGGGCAGTATGTGTGAGCCTACGATGGGCTTTGATTGTGAATCTGCAGACTAAGAGGCAAACGGGAATTGGAAATCAATATGAAAATGGAATTGGAATTGGAATTTCGATGGGAATCCAAAAAGCATTTTTTTTTAATTTGGCAGCATGCTTGAGCATACGATGGGTTGGATTGTAAATCTGCAGACTAAAAGGCAAACAGGAATTGGAAATCAATATGAAAATGGAATTGGAATTGGAATTTCGATGGGAATCCAAAAAGCATTTTTTGAATTTGGCAGCATGCTTGAGCATACGATGGGTTGGATTGTAAATCTGCAGACTAAAAGGCAAACAGGAATTGGAAATCAATATGAAAATGGAATTGGAATTTCGATTGGAATCCAAAAAGCATTTTTTTTCAATTTGGCAGCATGCCTGAGCATACGATGGGTTGGATTGTAAGTCTGTAGACTAAAAGGCAAACAGGAATTGGAAATAAATATGAAAATGGAATTTTGATTGGAATTTTGATTGGAATTAAAAAAGCATTTTTCAATTTGGCAGCATGCTTGAGCCTACGATGGGCTTGGATTGTGAGTCTGCAGACTACAAGGCAAATGGGAACTGGAAATAATAATAAAATTGGAATTGGAATTGGAATTGGAATTTTAAAAAGCATTTTTCAGTTTGGCAGCATGCTTGAGCATACGATGGGCTTGGATTGTGAGTCTGCAGACTAAAAGGCAAACAGAAATTGGAAACGAATATGAAAATGGAATTGGAATTTAGATTAGAACATAACTTGGAATTGAAACAACATTTTTCAATTTGGCAGCATGCTTGAGCCTACGATAGGCTTGGATTGTAAGTCTGCACACTAAAAGGCAAAAAGAAATTGAAAATAAATATGAAAATGGAATTGGAATTTAGATTGGAATTCAAAAAGCATTTTCCAGTTTGGCAGCATGCTTGAGCCTCCGATGGGCCTGGATTGTGAGTCTGCAGACTAAAAGGCAATAGGGAATTTGAAATAGATTGGAATTCAAAAAGCATTTTTCAATTTGGCAGCATTTGTGAGCCTATGATGGGCTTGGATTGTGAGTCTGCAGACTATAAGGCATACTGGAATTGGCAATGAATATGAAAATAGAATTGGAATCGGAATTAAGATTGGAATTCAAAAATCTTTTTTCGATTTAGCAGCATGCTTGAGCCTACGATGGTTTGGGATTGTGATGCAGCAGACTTAAAGTCTAAGAAATTGGTAACAAGTATATAAATGGAATTGGAATTTAGATTGGAATTCAAAATGCATTTTAAATTAGGCAGCATGTTTGCTGCAGACTATGAGTAGGGTGATCACACTGCCTGTGCACACAGTCTGCCCCTCGCACACACACACACACAACAGCAGTCAGTTGGTAGAAATAGCAATTTGTGTAAATTTATTTTAAAAAAACTAAACAATATTTTTAAATTTGTATTTCACATATATTTCAAGCATACCTTTAACTACAATTATGTGTAGTTTCATTGTTATAGGCATGTGGGAAATATGTTAAATTATTTAATTAGAATATTGTCTTTTCAGCCATGTCTGACATGGCCCGCTTGATCGCCCATTGACTTGCACTGTTATTCTGCGTGGTGAAAATGCACCTCAATTGATAAAACTCCCCTACAAAAAATGGAATACCCTCATGTGTTTCACTCATTGAATCGATTTGTTGCTTACACTCAAGGTAGCCACAACTGTACTGGGGTCACCAAACTTTTTGTAACTCTGAAATTCAGTCCCTGTGGAATGTTATGACCTGTTGAATGGTTTCTCGGAAAATCGTCATAAATCCTCAAATCTGACATCTTTTAAAAATACAAATATACTGTGATGTAGCTGAAAGTCTGCAGATTCTTATCATATGATCGGTTTTTCTGAATAATTTGTGAAACACATGAAAAATAGCTGTAACGGTGATCCAAGTATAAATCTTTGGAATTTAAGGTTAATATTTGGTGTACCGTATTTGCCGGCGTAAAGGCCGCAGTATTTTCGGGTGAGAAAAAATCAAAAAGTCGGGGTGTGGCGTATACGCAACAACAACAAAATTCAGCGGTCAAAACATCACGTCCATTCGCACGCATGGGACTATATGAACAGTAGCATGACTAGACAACGGTACAGGACAATTCTAGAATAACTCCACACAACTTACCGACAATTTTATGTTGCATAGTTGACATGAAGACGAAAAAACTTATTTTTCTAATAAAATCTGCCGATAGATCTAGATCTAAGTCCATACCATTGCATCGCCAAAAAGTAAAAAAAGGGACAGGCCGTTAATTACGGAGCTAGCTGCCGCGCAACGCAACTGCGCAGGTCGGGAAAATGCTATTTCGGATTACACCGCACATCGAGGTAGGGGTATTGTAGGATACCAAATCTGCGTACGATACAGTACTAGCTTAAAAGTCGATGAAGATCTGCTAAATTATGATCATTTTTGAGGTTAACTTCTTGTTGATTTATAAGAATATTGATGAATTTGGTATAGTTTGTAAAAAAAAAAGAGTGTTCTACAAGAAAATTACGATCATTTTGTTCGGTCCGGTTTTTTTTTTCTCTTTTTTTTTTTTTTTTCTTGTTTTTTTTTAAAGTTTTTTTTTGTTTTCCTCTACGAAATGTCAAAGTTGGGGGTGTGGCCTATACGGCGGTGCGGCCTTTACGCCGGCAAATACGGTATATATGATTTAAAAAATGCAAAAAAAATGAACAGTTTTACTTTCCTTATTTGCATAATGAGTGCACGAATATATAATTAGCTGAAATGACCAACAAGTGTAATTTGCATATTTGATGAATATTCATGATTTTTTTTCTTCTTCAAATAAAATATATTTCCATACCTGACTGATATACATAGGTTCAACTGATGTATCCTGTTCGGTTTTGAATTGATTACATATGCGGATATTAATTAGGCGGACATATCTGCAGATTCGCAAAAATGGCAAAAATTACTTATTTTGTTGGCTTCTGTTTTCAAAACGGTAATAGATATATGAATTTTCTTTTTGTATTTTTTACCACAAAGATGATATTTTAGTGCCTGATAATTTAATTTATTATTTGTGTCCAAGAAAGTGATGAATTAAGTTGTCACTTTGTCAAATTTTGCCATTTCTGGCAGGTTTTTCGGTAATTTTGCGATATAAAAAAAATGGTATAAAACCACAACGCATTGACCAATTTCAATTCGGTTTTGTTTTTTGAAGCTTTCATGAAGCTTGATCATTTGCAATCATCAATAACATGTGTTTGTTGTACTTATTTTTGCTATACTGTACCTACAGTATGAGACAAATAAAAATTGGGGTTTAAATTGAAATGGAACCAGATATTTACAGAATTGAAATTGATAATTGAAATAGGATTGAACTCAACAATAGAGTAGGACTTTGATTCACTGTCCACTCAACAATTCTTTAAACCAAATTAAATGCCACATGACTAAGAACAGGGCTTTCTTTTTTCATTTCTTTTTCAAAATACTACATAAGATTATCTCTGCAGTGTTCACTCTTTACCTCCAATGAGTCTGTGCTACTCTCTCCTAATACTGTTCAGTTCTATCCCTCCTCTATTCTTCTCTTTTGTTCCTGGACCCGCTTGCAAGCCTTTCTTTCTCATTATTTCTTTTTTCAAAATATAAATTCAAGATTATCTCTGCAGTGTGAACTTTACCTCCAATGAATTTGTGCTACTCTCTCCTATACTGTTCAGTTCTATCCCTCCTCTAACCCCCTCGTTGGTTCCTAGAACCTCTTGTAAGCCACATGGCTAAGAACAGGGCTTGCTTTATTTTTCATTATTCCTTTCTCAAAATACTACACAAGATTATCTCTGCAGTGTTCAATTTACCTCCAACGAATCTGTGCTACTCTCTCCTATACTGTTGAGTTCTATTCCTCCCATTCTCTTCTTCTCCTCCCCTGGAACCACTGCTGTGGGTTTCTTCTTCTTGAGTTTGGCAAGCAATGATGACTCCCTCTCCGGGAACGGTGGCATCTCCTCTAAGACTGTCGCCTGGTGGAAGTGAAAAAAATTAGGTTTTATCGGATTGAAAAATAAAGTTTTATTGAAAAAATATAGAAATTAATCATCTTTTAGAGAGAAATTTGTCTTCTTGTGTGGAAGGAAATCTGTGAGCTTCCACGTTCATTTGTAATCTTACATGGAACAACACTCGACCAAAATGTAGTAAGTCAGTACCCTGTATGAATCATACTTGGACCGATGGCTTTAAGTCCTCTCTGAAGGACCTGGTAATGAGGATTAATGCTTTACCAAAGGGCACTAGCGCATTGACTTGGTTTCAAACCCAGGACCTCCTGGTTACAAGACCAATGCTTTACCACTGAACCATCGTGCTTCCTACTAAATAATTTCCAAAGCTCTTTGGAAGCGCATATAGATGTTATGTCATAACGTAGTATGCGCTATACAAGAACTGAATATTATTATTATTATTATTAGATGATTCAAGTGCATGTATCTTACCAGTACATCAGCTGAAGTGCACACACTGAGTTGAAGGTACTCTACCGCCCTCTGTTGGAGTTCAGCATCAGCGTTGCGTAGCTGGTTATCATTTCTTAGTACCTGTTTAATATCAAACAAAATTAACATGAGTTAGTTTGTGTATGGCTGTCCAAAGACAGCATCAGGCTTTTTTTGCAAACCATGATATATATCAAAACATTAAACACCAAACTCTTGCATCGCAATTGAATGATTGGTGACACAAATTCATTTGTGATTCAATTATTAAGACTTTACAACGTTTTCATGAGAATAAGTGCAATAGTTTCCAGTACTGTTTGACAATTCTACTTAATCTAACCATTTAAAGGGAAAGTCCACCCCCAAAATAAGTTTGTTTCGATAGAGGCAGAATAATAAGAAAATCAGGTGAGTGAAAGTTTGAGCAAATTCTGAATGAAAATAAGAAAGTTATGAATTATTGAAGTTGTGATCAATCAAATACAAATTGGCAACTCTGTGACTTATTATACGAGCTCTCCTTCATTTGCTTTGTGCATAATATTCCATAAAATCATGTTTTCTTCGTTATTGATGACGGAATATATATTTGTTCCTTGCAGGGGGAGTACAGAAACATATTTTCAATTATTATATTTAGGGTGCATGTATGGTTGAAATTTTTCTTGAGGGAAAATGAAAATTTTAGATTTTTTTAGTACTGAGCAAATGAAAGTTGAGCTCGCATGATACGTCATAGAGTTGCCAATTTGTGTTTGATTGATCACAACTTCAAAAATCCTAACTTCCTTATTTTTAATCGGAATTTGCTCAAACTTTCACTGACTTGTTTCTCTCATTTTTCTACTCCTATTAAAACTAACTTAATTTCAGGGTGGACTTCCCCTTTAACAATTTTACTTCATTATAAAAACGGTGAACAACTGAATCCTATATCCTAATTAAATGTTTGGTGATACAAAGTCATGTGTGTACAATTTTGTTATGATGCCAATAAGTTTAATTGAATATTGAGGCTATTAGACATCTTTTTATTTATTTATTTATTTCATTTTATTTAAACGACTTATGATTGAGTGCGACAGTTTCGGATACATTTTCTCTAGTTTTACTGGTTGGGGCAGCACACGACTAAAACTTCAACACATTCACATCTTACGTACAACTACTGTGCAGTCAGAATCAATATGTTCTACCTGCAACTTGAATGATACATTTGATATTTTCTGATACTCACATCTTGTATGATATGTTTGATCTCTGGGAAGAGGTTGATAAACTTGACATAGGTAGAGAGGAGGAGCCCTCTGGTCGGGGCAGTACACAGGTGAAACTTGGAATGAAGAAGATTGAGCTGGACTTGTGGACTGTCAGGGCGAACAAGGCGGGAAAAAAAATTAAATTAATACTTATAATGCTTATCAATTTTAAAGTTGCTGCACGAAAATTATCTCACAGGGATATTATTACTTCAGAGGCAATCTAATTAATATACAAATAATACACAGCAGTGAGGGCATTAGTAACAATTACCCACACAAGGTAACTTTGGAACATATAATACGCCCGAGGCGGTAGCCGAGGTTATTTGGACTGTTTTGAAGGTACAGAGTGAAGGTTATTTTACTAATGCCCGAACAAAATGATGTGTATTATTTGCTTTAGAAGATGATGTTTTATTTGTTTTATAAAATGATGTTTTGTAACATGATTTTACTAATGACTGGTCATTAGTGAAATTATGTGTCAGGCAAAATAAATGCCTGGTCACGTGTACTCTCTCAACCAATGATTTGATTAGGATCCACTTCATCATCATATAATAAATAATAATAATAAATACTTATAAAGCGCACTTATCTAATAACTTACTCAAGGCGCTATCCAAAACAAAATACACCAATCTTTCTCCAGAATTTAACAACAAAAAAGCAGTAGTAACTCTGAATAAATAAAGCTTTTTAACATGTTTCTAGGTATTGGATGTTTTCGAAATTCACTTGGCAGCTTGTTCCAGAGGACCGGTGCAACATACAATTAACCCTCACGAAAATATGAGGGGGGGGGGAGAGGGGGCACTTTCAATTTTCTTTCTCGCCTCAGGGATCTTTCGACAACAAATTTCGAAATAAAAATCATATAAACCTGTACAAATGGCATTGATGGAATTCAGGTACATCACTTGACTACTCAACTGTCATATTTTCCATACGTTTAATACAGCAACCACCCAGTTACAGTAGACAATGAGTTCAAAGTTCAAAGGTCAGCCTTACCTTGACCTCTTGTCACCGGCGATGAGGTTTCCAAACTCTCCCAGGATGTAGCCTCCCACTTTAACCATGTTTTCATGGCATGCTGGAGCTTGTAGAGCCTGTCACACACAAGCAAAAAAAAAAAGAAGAAACATCATTCATCCATTTTTGCAGGTGTTTTGCGCTTTCAAAAGAAAAAAGATTATGTAAATTCTATATATCTGAGTAGGAACGGATTTCAGCAACTTGCATGTCAACACAAGCAAATATCAAGTACGCATGGGCCATCTAAAAGAAATGTGAATGATCCAAATAAATCGCAAGTATACAGTCTCCTATCTCTTATGTTCATAGTTGCGATTGATATCTATCGCAAATAAGTTGCGATTAATCCAAACTCTTTATAACATGGAGCCCACACCCAACCCTAAACTTAGTACCTAAATCACACCAAGCAACCACATCCCAAATCAGAGCTGAACAGTCCTTGGCCATTCGGGGCAATGTAATTGTTTGTTTTGTTGTCGGTTTGCTGTCAGTCTCTGTGATGTGGCCGAGTATCGCATAAAATCCAATCTAACTCTTGCCCTAACCTAAAATCCTATAACCCTAACTCTAACCCTTTAGCCCTTGACAAAATAAATCCCAGAGTGTGTGTAGAATCCATGTTACATTTTGTTTATAACAAGCTTAGACAATGATAGTCAAGGTTGGAATTCTAACTTGTTAGAGATTTACCTCAAACACCGTCTTGCCGCATAACCCTGTACTTCTTCTCTATTAATGACGATCTGTATTTAATACTCATTAGTATATCAGACAATATTCATTTGTTTATAGTAACCATGGACAACAATTGACAAGGTCGACTTCTTGAAACTAATATCATTTGGCAAATGGGTACCCGGTAGGATGCGACCGTCATTGTTAGTCAAACAGTTTTTGAGCGTCAAGTAACGCCTGGCTGGAATGCTCCCCAGGGAGTGGAGATTGTGCACACATTGTGTTCAGGCAAGTATTGAATCCAATGACCGGGGTAATAGTATATCTGTAAAGCACTTTAGAGACATCATAGATGTATTAAGTGCTATCTAAAAGCAGAATAATTATTATTATTATTATTTACCTCAAACACCGTCTTTGCTGCGTAACCCTGCACGTCTTCTCTATTGATGACGATCTGTATGACTCGATACCACACCTCCTCGCTGACGTAGTCACCGGCGATCCTGATCAGGTTGAGGATGGTGTCCACGTACCACGTGTAGTCGCTGGCGTACTTCTCGGCTAGGATGGCTACTTTCAGTACCTGGACGAAAACAAGAATTGGATTGACTGGGTGAAGATTGGCGCCAATTCAATTCAAGATGTTTTTATTGCCATCACTCAATCAATACATGAAAAAATATTCTTACCTGAAATTAATATAAAATGACATTCGCAATATAACATAGAAAATGAAACTTCCCCATGAGAGTCCACTCTTATACTCTTTAATATGACCTCAATCTCTCCTTGAACAAGTCAAAACAAACCTACGATCTCCTTACCATTTCTTCCCTTATGGAGTAATCTGCTTTCTCTAGGTAGATGAGCATCTCACCGACGATCTGATCCGCGTTGGTCCGATCACACATGGCGTAAAGCAGGTCTACAGCTCGCTGACGCACACTTACATCACGCTCCGTCTGCACAAGATAAAAACATAATGTGATTAGTGAGTATGAATAATGCTAATTAACATGCTGGTCAATGCATGTGATACTATGAAATTATCTTTCCAATGTTTCATCAACTGCAGTTTGTTTTGGTCTCGTGTAGTTTCGTATTTGCATTCTTTGTTAGTGTAAAGAGGTGTCGTGGTCAAGTGGATTAGTCATCAAACTGTGGATCACATGGTCTATGGCTCGAGTCCTGCCACGACACTAATGTCCTTTGGCAAGGAATTAATCTACGTTTGCCATTCTAGACCCAGGTGAGGTAAATGGGTACCTGGCAGGAACTGATTCCTTGAAATGCTAGTGTGTCACAATGGTAGCCGTGCTAAAGCCGGGTAATAATTGTGGAGCACATGGAGCGTCAAGTCTGACAGACATGAGAGCTATACAAGAACCCACTATTATTTTCATTATTATTATTATAGTCATTGTGATTCTGACAATGATAAAGAAAAGAAAATGAGGAAGGTTTAACCAGAGCCATCTATACACAGAGTTTGGCCAATCCGGTTCAAGTTGGATACAATATGGTGACTATTGCTTTGTTGGGCAAGCACAAAACAAAAGAATATATGCCATGTTGTGACCCAGTGAAACCAAGTTGGCCAAACTCTGTATATAGATGGCTCTGGGTTTGACTATACATTACCTTGAGGGCTGTGACAACCGTTTCTAGATGTTTCTTGACAGCTTCCCGTGAGAACTCAGAAGATGCTAGCAGACACATGCTCTCAAGCGCAAGATACCTGGTAGAAAGACAAAGACAATATAACCTTTCAATGTCGTTGTTATCTTCACCATCATCATCACTGTCATGAACAACATTGTCATGATGATGACCATGATCTGCATCATCATCATCGTCACCATCATGAAAAACATTGTCATCATGATGACCATCATCATCGTCACCATCATGAACAACATTGTCATCATGATGATCATCATCATCACCACCATCATCATCATCATCGTCACCATCATGAACAACATTGTCATCATGATGACCATCATCATCATCATCATCGTCACTATCATGAACAACATTGTCATCATGATGACCATCATCATCATCATCATCGTCACCATCATGAACAACATTGTCATCATGATCATCATCATCATCACCACCATCATCATTATCATCGTCGTCATCATCATCACCACCCTCACTAACATCATCATTAGAATCATTGGGGAAAGGACTTGTATCCTTTAAAATCCCAGCAACACCCTGCAATCTCAGTCTATTTTCTCTGCATTCTCTTGTACTCGATTCTTCCAACATTGATGTGTTCAGACTCACCTTAGATTTGTTTCTCTGTGCTGTAGGAACTGACCTAGTTGATTACACGCTCTGACCAACAAGTTAGGCTCACTGTGTGAACACAAAGATAGTACAAATATATGGTCAAACAAAAGGAAAAAGAATGTCAAGACAAAAAAAAGGACGATATGTAAAAGGTCAAACAATGTCAACACAATGTAAAACACGTTGCTAGAGGAGCTGAACAAAAATTCAATTTTGAATTGAGCAAACCTTTATAGAGCTCTCATGTTGCCTTCTACGTCTCAGCTCTTTCCATCTCTTCATGTTGTATCTGTCGTCTTCAAACATGCGCCTATCAACAAATCTTCAAATTCCCTTTTAGTTGATTTTTTCCTTCTCTCCCCCCCCCCCCCCCCCGCTAAAATGTTCCTTCTACTTTAATATTTGTACTATTCTCTCTCTGTCTGTCTCTGTCTGTCTCTGTCTGTCTCTTTCTGTCTCTTTCTGTCCGTCTGTCTGTCTCTCTGTCTGTCTCTGTCTGTCTCTTTCTGTCCGTCTGTCTGTCTGTCTGTCTGTCTCTCTGTCTGTCTCTGTCTGTCTCTGTCTGTCTCTGTCTGTCTCTTTCTGTCCGTCTGTCTGTCTGTCTCTCTGTCTGTCTCTGTCTGTCTCTGTCTGTCTCTTTCTGTCCGTCTGTCTGTCTCTCTCTCTCTGTCTCTCCCCTCTCTCTCTTTCTCTCTCTTTCTCTATCTCTCTCTCATTACACTCCCCTCACATTCTCACACTCCATATACTGCTTTCCTTCCCTTACAGTACCTATCTCTCTTTCTCTCTCTCTCTCTCTCTCTCTCTCTCTCTCTTATTCACACACTGCTTTCCTTCCGTTACCTATCGTGATGTATGATGAGATTGATGGCCTCAAACAGGACGGCATTCTTGGAGTTGGAATGCTGGACTTTCTTGGACTTTGGTGGCTCCTAAATGAACAAAATATATCAAAAAAAAAATTTATTGCATTTTCTTTGTTGTTTTTTATTTGTAGGAACAGCCCCCTACCCTAGCCCCGCTGCGTACAGTCATGGTTCAGTGGCAAAGCAAGGGCCTCGTAACTGTGAGGCCCCAGGATCAAATTATTATTCAATAAAATCTGAGAATGTATACTATTATCTAGATCTATTAGGAAAAAATCATTGTCAAAATAATTCCATAAATTGGGGTAAAAAAAATATTCCAACTATATGAGCGACAGTGTATCTTGTATTACTCACGGTGTTACCTAAGGGTCAATCCTTGGTCCCCTATTATTTTTGCTATATATTAATGACATTAACCCTTACTGTCGAAGATGTCGAGGGGGGGGCCTCCCAGGCCCCCCCCCCCTCGACATTTTCGGAGATCGCGCTGCAACCGCTTGGAATTTTGAATTGTCGTTTCATGACTTTTTCCCCTCAAGACTTGCGCACATTTTGATACCATTTTCGTCAAAATCGGATATACCTGTAAGGTGTTACATAACAATTAGTATGCGCATGTCAATCAAAAAAGTGCTATAATTGCATATATTCGTGTACAAGCAGAAATGTGAAGATATGAATTGATATAAAATTGCTTTTATATGTTTCTCAGAGTAACTTGATGTATTCCAGAACAAAAGAATACATTAGAAATAAAACAATAGATATAATAAGAAATAAAAAACAATAAAATACATAAGAAAATAAATAGTAGAAAATCGCATCAAATTTGCATAAATTATCATTATTAATTACATCAAATAACTATTTTGTGTTAGAAAAGAAGTTTCATATGAATAATGAGTTTCAACATTCAAAAAGTGGAGTCTGACAATTTTTGTAATGATTCTAGTTCCCTAAATATAGTTCCTGATTTGATATTCATGAATGCGTAATTTGCATATTCATAATTTATGCAAATTAACCTATGCATTTTCAAATATCATAAAAATAATGAAACCTCATGAATTTGAGATGAAGGAAACATTAATTCAATACATTTTCAAGATTCTTCACAAGTCTACGGACAAATATGTAGCATTTTCTGTAATATGCATAAAATTAGCATTTTGCATAATTAATTAGGCTATAACGACAAAAATTTGCCTATTAGGAAAAAACTAATTATACCATCTTGTTCCTTACGTAAATATCTACAAATATGTTCATCGGACATTCGACGGCCGAGATCATAGGGGGGGGGCATCCCAGGCCCCCCCCCCCCCCCCCCCCCAGTCAGAGGGTGCTCAAAATAGCCCAGTACAGTAAGGGTTAAGAAAGCTTCTGATAAATTTGAATATATTATTTATGCACACGATACTGCTATAAAATCAAAAGAATGATGTAACATTGTAGGAAATTGTGATATATTTTCAAAAATGTTCTGTAAGCCCTGGATTAATAAATATTATTATAAAATGTTTATATAAATGATTTTTCTTATTTATTGATGAATCGAGTTTGAACATCTCATCTTTACCTGTGCTTTATTCAGTATGGTCTCCAGGCATTCCGTGAGTCTGCCCCTGACCGCGGGGTCGTCCGGCGGTCCGTAGAGCTGTAAGAGACGCAGGAGCTTGACCGCCAGCCACGGGGCAGGCACAAAGTAGTATGTGTAGTCCTGCAAGTCTGTGTATGATGATGTTACGATCTACGGGGGGAAAAGAAATTAAAGAGCACATAGTAGTGAGTTCTCAGTGGGAGTTTGACATCATAAGGCCTTTAAAAAAAAGATGTTGTATTGCTATTAAAAATCATAAGATGTAGAGGTGAAAGGGGCTGAAATCAAACAATAGCCTGAATACTGGTATCCCTGCAACGGAATTCACTGAAACGGAATGAAACTTAAAGTGGAAATTCAAAGAAAATCACAAATATGTCAACTGATGTATCACTAGAAAAGAGATTTAAGGCATTTGTTTATTAAACAATGTTTCCATTTTAAAAAATCTGTGATGCATGGCTCTACGTGTTATCAGCGTCTGTGATATGGAGTAATATTGAAGCCCTAAAAAAAGGCGCTTCAAAATGATCAAGAAGTGCCTCAAAAAAGTAAAAAATATTTGAGTGACCGGTTTTACCCTACTCGTTTTCCCCAATAGACTGCAGTGTTATAAAAACCGTTACGATAAAGAATATCTTGGTAATCAGACAGGTGATTGGCTTGTAAAAGTCATGGGATTCACGTATGACCTAAAGGTTTATAATTATGATTGCAGCATGAGCTAAATCCAGGATTTTTGTTAAGAATCTGAGGCCCAATCCCTTTAAGTAAAGATATGATGACCGACTTACCCTACTAAGTCTTGAGACAGCTAATGAGATACAGCCCTTGTACTCGTCTGGGTTCTTTAAGCACAGATCATAGATGAGACTGGATGCAGCAGTGACCACGCCCTAAACAACAAAATTGGGAGAAATATTACGGGGCGAAAACATATTCAAAATCTTATCATTTAACAAATAATGATAGAAATCTTACTGGGTGAAAAAATATTTGAAATCAAAGTCAATGCCCTAGTTCCATTTGGTAAGGCATTAATTCCCATTACCAAGTCCCTAGGAGAAGACTAAAAGCTGTCGGTTCTCTAGGCGTCGTGGCGTGCGCCTGTAATCCAGCTAAAAAGTGGAAGTTACAAACTGATTCAGCCGAGGACGCAGGTTCGAAACTGAGTCACGTTTTTCGGATGGTGACGTTTAAAGGTCGGTCCCAGACGTAAATAATCATATCTGATTGATACACGTCTGTAAAAACCCAATACACACAAACACTCTAGTCGCTTACTTCTTAGCAGTCCGGTAAAACAAACAATGAGGCAGACAGAAAGGAAAAATTGATTAAAAGTGATTAAGACACCTGAGAAACTGAAGGGAGAGAGACAGATAGAAAACAGACAAAGATCGCCAGGGACGGAAAAACAGACCCCACATGAATAAAGACATACAGCGCCAAAGAGATCTAAGATTATTTTTTTTTAAGTGAAAGGTCAAAGGTCAGAGGTGAAGAGTCGGCTTACCATGTGTTGATCATTGAGTAGGTTTATGACTCTGGCTTGCCATTCCCCACTGGGTATCAAATCATTGCACGTAGGTACGGTATAAACAGACCCATAGATATCAAAGATAAACCAAAGTCAAAGATCAAAGGTCAAAGGGTCAAAGGTGAAGGGTTTTCTTACCATGTGTTGATCATTGAGTAGGTGTATGACTCTGGCTTGCCACTCCCCACTGGGTATCGAATCATTGCACGTACGGTAGAGACGCAGCAGGCATAGCGATGCACTCTGTTTCACTTGGTCAATGGTGTCACTGCATGGATAGGAGAGAGGATGTAGAGAAGGGGATGGTTGTTTTACTGTGAGGTGGGGTCATGAATTTGGTTCAGATGAACATATTGAAAGCATATGCAATTTTACAATATTCAATGATCGTTGGTCGTAGTTGAAATCAAGTGTTAGAGTACGTGATGAAACTGTAAATAATAAACTCTCTATGTTGTATAGCTCCCTGTCAAGACTGATATTACCTTAGCTTTAAAACAATGCTTCTTGACTACAATCGCCGATATGCTATTCGTGTTTGGAAATTATATATCAGAACTGCATATTCTGATATTTTTCTGGTTGCAGATACCATGGAATGAAACTTACTGGGAGCACCGGTGCATTTTTATTATTCAATTTGCTCGAAAGCAGGTGTGTTTTAGGGGCTCAATTTTCTAGTGCTTATCATAAATCCACAGGGGCATCCAAATATATCAAAATTTTAAAGAATTTCTATCCATCATTACATTTAAGGCCATACACCATGATAACCATCATCATCATCTTCACTATCATCACCAGTATCATTTTCATTATCCTCATCGTCCTCCTCATCATCCTCCTCATCATCATCATCACCATCATCATCATCATCATCACAACCATCATCACCATCATCTTCACAACCATCATCACCATCATCATCATCATCGTCGTCGTCGTCGTCGTCGTCTTCACCATCATCATCATCAACATCATCATCATCATCATCATCACCTGATTAACAAAATCCACATCATCATCATCACCATCCTTATCACCATCATCATCACCGACACCCCCCCTTCCTCTTCTTCCTCCTCATCACCATCACATCCTCCCAAGATACTTACGCAGATACGAGCAGCTTTGGTACTTCTTTTCCGAGGTTCTCTGCCATAGCTTTGCTGCCGATGTTTGCTATGCAATGGAGGGCCAGGTTGATGTTGACTGCATTTCTGCTGTTGAGGTCTTTTTTGATGCTCTGAATAACCAGCTGCATCAGTTCGCTGCTCTCACTCACAAGCACTGAGATGAACAAGTAACCCTGCAAGAACAAAGGTCAGCGAAAAAAACATAGGTCAGCAAGAACAAAGTTTTAAAAAACGGTCAGCAAGAACAAAGGTCACAAGTAAAAAGGTCAGCAAGAACAAAGGTCACAAGTAAAAAGGTCAGCAAGAACAAAGGTCACAAGTAAAAAGGTCACAAGTAAAAAGGTCAGCAAGAACAAAGGTCAGCAGGAACAAAGGTCAGCAAGAACAAAGGTCAGCAGTAACAAAGGTCAGCAAGAACAACGGTCACAAGAATATATGGGTTAGCAAGAACAAGGGTCAGGGTAAAAAATGTTGTCTTTTTCAGGGTTTCCACAGAAATGTGTGAACCAAATTCCATGACTTTCCATAATCCATGACCCTTTTTTTTTTTACCTTTTCCCATGATCAAATAAGTACTCTTCTGGTATGGGTTGCAGCATACAAGCGGCGAACGAATACTACGCCCATTAGGGACTTTTGGATTTGCATGTTCACTAGAGGACTGTGACGTATGCGGTCATATTTTTGACGAGCTCATCGCTCATAGCAGAATTCTCGAAGGCGTTCACCCTTGTTTTGCCGCCGTTCAAAATCTGTGACAGTACTGTTCGTAAGCAATGTTTTATAGATACACAACTGCACATTGAAGTCATAAAATGGACCCAATTGACCTAATTCTGCAGGCGAAGAGTTGGGGAACTGTAAGCTCTCTAAAATTAACACATTCTCTTGTCTGTGATTTCCCTCATATCAAAATTGATGATTCCATAAAATGAACACATTTGATTCATGCATCGCCAATTTGTTGCAGCATAATTATCGATTAAAGAAGTAATAAAGACAGTACTTACTATTTGTTTTTCTGTGTATTTGTTACTGCTGAGAAGGTTGACTGCTTCCATGTGCCCAAAGTCAATATCGTGGCCAAGCAGGAATATGAAGAGAAGCTTGCACACATATTTCTTCTTCTGATATCCATCCAGCGTTTTGTCTCCTGAAAAGAGAGAGAACAAAAAAGAATGAAAACATAAAGAAATTAAAGGTACTGTGAAACACAAGATTTCTAGTCTTTTTTTTGTCCCCTTCTTCTTCTTACTATGTTTTATCTCTGGTTGAGAAAGACAAAAAAAATATATAAATAATAATAACAAAACTAGATGGAATTTTGACTGCGCGCAGTCGAAAATGATGCCTCCGCCATAGAGCAATTTAAACAAGTTTGGAGTTTAAATCTCCAGTGGTTCTTGAGATATCATGATAACAATCTCAATGTATGGAATTTCATAAGTTGACCTCTGTGACCCTTGACCTTTGACCTACGTGCTCCAAAATCTAATCAGATTGTCTTCCTATGGTGATACACACTATCATTAAGTTTGAAGTTTAAATCTCCAGTGGTTCTTGAGATATTATGATATGGTGATACATACTATCATTAAGTTTGAAGTGAAAATTCTCCAGTGGTTCTTGAGATATCGCGATAACGATCTCAATGTATGGAATTTCATAAGTTGACCTCTGTGACCCTTGACCTTTGACCTACGTGCTCCAAAATCTAATCAGATTGTCTTCCTATGGTGATACACACTATCATTAAGTTTGAAGTTTAAATCTCAAGTGGTTCTTGAGATATTATGATAACAATCTCAATGTATGGAATTTCATAAGTTGACCTCTGTGACCCTTGACCTTTGACCTACGTGCTCCAAAATCTAATCAGATCGTCTTCCTATGGTGATACATACTATCCTTAAGTTTGAAGTTTTTACATCTCCAGTGGTTCTTGAGATATCATGATAACAATCTCAATGTATGGAATTTCATAAGTTGACCTCTATGACCCTTGACCTTTGACCTACGTGCTCCAAAATGTAATCAGATTGTTTTCCTATAGTGATACACACTATCACTAAGTTTGAAGTTTAAATCTCCAGTGGTTCTTGAGATATCATGATAACAATCTCAATGTATGGAATTTCATAAGTTGACCTCTGTGACCCTTGACCTTTGACATACGTGCTCCAAAATCTAATCAGATCGTCTTCCTATGGTGATACATACTATCCTTAAGTTTGAAGTTTAAATCTCAAATGGTTCTTGAGATATCGCGCTAACAAACTCAATACAAGGAATTTCATAAGTTGACCTCTGTGACCTGTGACCTTTGACCTACGTACTCCAAAATCTAATCAGATCGTCTTCCTATGGTGATAAATACTATTCCCGAGTCTTAAGTTTAAATCTTAAATGGTTCTTGAGATATTGTGATAACGGTCAAACGGGACGGACGTACGGACGTACGGACGGACGTACAGACGTACGGACGTACGGACGGACAACCCGAAAACATGATGCCTCCGGCACCACCTTCGGTGGCGGAGGCATAAAAATAAAAAAAATTATCTTGAACTGAAGATGACCTTTCATATGTATTAATGATCATTTGTTGAATATTGATAATAATAATACACATAATTGCTACATTTAAATAGTGCATCCATCCATCCCAAAGGTTTAGGGAATATCATTAGTTACTACATCCTGAATGATCTACTTCTGGATATACATGTATGAATGTCTTAGAAATATATATTTCTTTCTGTTGCAGGCAAGATTCAAACTGTCGATTGCCAAAAGAAAGCTAAACACAACAATCAGAGCACATTTTTCATATGTACTAAATCACCATTCACTAGTAGTCTTCTGTCTCTCCAACATTCTCTTCCTCTCTCTTTGACACATCCAGTCTTTCAGTTAACCCACAAAGACGATATTATACTTGTTGCTGTCTTGTAGTAAATTAATTCCCAACATCAGATCTTAATTATTGTAATAAAATAATTTGATCATTACAAAAAAAAACATTAAAATATTATTTTATTTTGTATTTCTTTGTTTACACTATGATATTCAATGCCACTTTGATTAAGGACCAATTCCTGATATATCTCTTGAGAGGCAGTAGTGAGCTCAAAAGTGATCCGTTTTTCATTTCCTTCAGAAATGATTTCTCAATTTACCATTATTTCCTGCATGTACAAAAAAGGAAAAAGAATATTTCAATACATAAGTATATTGCATTTCTGACACAAATAATTAAGTTATTTGATCCTTTATTCCAAAATACTATCATACATGACCAACATCATGATGTATATTGTGAAATAATACAATTCAAAAAGTCATACTTTCACCTACATGTATGACGCACGTAACATCATTACCAGATATAACCTTTCTGACTATAAAAAGCATGGATGCATATTAACGCATGGAGAATACACACTGCCGAATATACCAGATGTGGGGCAAAAAAACTGACAATTTCATTTCATATGACCTCAAACCCAATCGACCAAGAAATGTCAAATTTCCTGTAGGACAGGTAGACACCTAAAGTCCTCCTCTTGTTCGACTCGACACACGACATCATAATGGAAAATGCCCTCAGCTGGCTCTGCTTCAACTGCATGCTAAATGCTCGTGGAGACAAAATCAATACGACAAAACAAAGCCGCGAATGAGACTGGGAGGGCTTGGAGTACGGGGGTGGCCGGCCTGTTGTTTGCGAGGATCGGGGCTCCATGCGTGCAAATCAATTACACGCCGAGTCGTGTCGCGGTAATCATACACCCCGGATTGACGATGAATATTCATGAGGTGTTGGATGATAAATTCCAGTTCTTTTCTCGCTCCAATTACCATTAACATGCAGTGATACAGAGTCTTAGATGTAGAGAGAGAGAGAGATATTGAATGCTAGAAATTCAAATATATTCATGACAGGATTATACCTGTATGTACATTATGTGTGTACACATGTGCATCATCTGATGATACACAGTGAGAGGTAGAAGTGCAACATGAACAACCAGTGTTTAAAGGGATCGTTTAACAATGTTAAATCTGAGATACACGGCCCTACGTGTTATCAGTGTCTGTGATATGATGTAATATTGAAGCCCTAAAAAAATTGCGCTTCAAAATGATCAAGAAGTGCCTCAAAAAAGTAAAAATCTTTGAGTGACCAGTTTTACCATACTCGTTTTCCCCAATAGACTGTAGTGTTATGAAAACCGTCAGGCGAACGGTTTTCAAAATTTGTAATTCCAATCATAAATATCTTGATAATCAGACAGGCCATCGGCTTGTAAAAGTCATGGGGTTCCTGACTGACCTAAAGGTTTATAATTATCATTGCATCATGAGCTGAATCCAGAATTTTGTTTCAGAATCTGAGACAAAGTTACCGGATCCCTTTAAAAAAGTACCTTAATGTTCGAGGGAGCTGTTTATTAAAGGATTTAGGATTTATGACCATAAGATTGCTTTACTCACATTGATATTTCAATATACATATTTTTTTTTCTTTCCATTAAACACATCAAAAGTACATAGCGATCAAAGTGTGCCCCTCCCTATTATTGGCATAAATGGCGTCTGAAAATACGATATTAAACCTAAATTTTCTTCTTTTTTTTTGGGGGGGGGGATATTTTTTCCTTCATCAGACCCCCCCCCCCCCCCCCCCTGCAGCTGCAGCAGCATCAACAAATCTTGCGTCTCTTCCCTGCTAAAGTGCCTGCTGCAGCCTACTGCAGCCTACTGCAGATACAGTACTCGTCTGTACCCTTTTCTCTGCCATTTAGATGTAGGCTTTGAGAAAGGGCAACTGTTAATGAAATCATGAATATTAAGGCAGCTACACTGTAATAATCATCGCAAGAATCTCTTTTGATGAGATTTCCAAGGATAATGTATTTAGGGATTCAATTCAAGAAAGGGAAAGGGGAGAAAGAGAGAGAGGGAGAGACAGAGAGAGAGAGAGAGACAGTGAAAAAGAAAGACAGAGACAGAGACAGAGAAAAAGAAAGAGAGAGAGAATGAGAGAGAGATAGAGAGAAAACAGAGAGACAGAGAGACAGAGAAAGAGTAAGAGAGAGAGACAGAATGAGAGAGAGACAGACAGAATGAGAGAGAGAGAGAGAGAGAGAGAGAGAAAGAGAGAGAAATATAGATAGGGAGAGAGAAGAGAGAGAGACAGAGATAGGGAGAGTGGGTAGTGAATAGAAATAGAGAGCTCATGGAAAATGTATAGAGAAATAATATTTTGAAGCAATTTTAGAATACAATGGACGATACATGCTTTGTTAAAAACTGTGTAAGAGAAATTTTAAATATGTAGACGTAATGCTTGAACTTTAATATTTCTACAGTCTGTCAGTGGAGACACTGAAAATGCATACAGTGGCTTCTTTGCCAGCAAACTCATCTCAGAGAAAAAAAGAGAGAGAGTGGGAGGTTGAAAGAAATATGGTCATGGTACATGTATCATGTTTTGCAGGGGGGAGAAATCTGAGCCTGCTCTTTCCACTCCAAATTATGAAAGAGTTCCTGTAGGGCTTAACAGACAAAATAGATGTCTTGTAGCGGTGTCCTTTTTCACAACACGGTGGTTATTGGGCCTAGTTCAGACTCGCGAAAGGAGAAGCTCTCTTCTGAGACCAGGGACCCGTTTCACAAAGCCTTTTTTTCAATGACAAATGACAAAAATCAGTGACAAATCTATAACCAATCAGAAGGAAGGATTTCACTAGCTTATAACAGAAAACTGTCATTTGTCACTGATGACAAGTTTTGCAAAATGGGGCCCTGTATTTGCGCACAAGATAATCTAGATTTATAAAGCGCTTAATACGAAACACCGTCTTTAATCGCTTGACAGATATTATTACCCCAGTCATCGGTTTTTTTCACACGCAATGTGCACCATCTCCACTCCCTGGGGAGTATTCCTACCATATGGTCACCATGAGGGCATATTACAAGTAGTAACACAAAGGCTTTTGTCATCCTACCAGGTTGCCATTTCTCTCCTGGGTATGTCCTGGGTATGGAGTGGCAAATGTAGATTAATACCTTGTGACTGTGAACTAGGTCTTACGCTCTCAGTCTCACCTCATCAAGTGGTAAACACTCTTGTCTGTGTTTCCA